CCAGCAACATTTGGAGGGCCACAGGTTCCCCATCCTTGATTTAGGGGCCACCACCGGGTATTATTTGATCCCAAAGTAAGCAGAGTATTGCCATCAGCCCTGGAAGAAGCTCAGGATCATGGAGACATCCACAACAAAGCTCATCCTTCATGGGCACACCACTGCTTAGGAACTCTGTTTTGCATAGGTTTTTGTCACATCTTTCTCACTTCCTACATTGACTGATCACAGGAAAACAGAATGGGAAAACTTGCAGGTATATTAAAAAACTAAGCCGAACACCATCTGCCAAGGAAAAAGGGTTTCCTGTTTTTTAAAATAATAATAAAAGTAGTCCTGGAACACTTCTGTAGGATTGCCCTGAAGGTCTGGGTTCTGCAGTTGGATGCATATCAAATGTTAGACCTAACATGCCAGAGTGAACATACTACACCAGCCCTACTGGCCCAACTGGGTTGGCCACCAGTAAGATTTAGGAGAGGAAGCTGGGACTCTCACAAGAATTCATTTGCCAACATTTGCTTGAATGATGAAGCAGCCGTTCCCAATTTCTGAAGTCATTGAGATAACCCAATCTCTAGCTGCATTCCTGGTGGCTTTAACAAACAGAGCTAACAGCTTGTTTGGCACACAAGCACACATTCAGTCTAACCCAAGCAGTTGTGGATACTGACATACAAGCACTCCAAAGAATGGGCGCATTGTTTACGTGGATTAAAACAAGGAGCACTGTGTGTGGAGTGGCTTGAGTGAATTGCAGAGCAGGTTGGAGAGTGTTCACACCCTCAAAGTACTGAGGACACACCACTCTGGCACCACCCGGATGCCAGAGTAGGTGCAACAAGGGCCGTCAGTGTGACCTTTCCTTCTGGATGACAGCCAGAGCAGCAGCCCAAAACTAATAACCTCTTACCAGGCTGCTGAGCTCAAGAGTCAAAAGGTGGCCACAAAGCTGGGAAAGGTTCCAGTGAGCAGGCCAATTCCATTAAAAACAAAACAAAAACAAAACCCTGATGGCTTCACCTCCAGAAGTATTATTTATTGCCAGATGCTGGGATCTCTTACAGGACAGAGCGAGCGAGTCAAGACTGCTTTCCTCAGAAATTTCCAATTGTCTCATTTTCATGCAATTAACCAATAATTTCCTTCCATCTGAAGGGACATCCTTAAAAGTCCCACTTGTTCAGGCCAAAAGCCAATCCAGACTAGCACTATGTTCTCACAGCGGCCAACCAGATCCCCAAAGGAGGCCCACAAGCAGCACCAGAGCACTTTCCCCACACCTCTGAGTCCTAGCTGGAGATATATATAGATGCATTCGATCCATAAGAAGGTTGTGGGCTCCCTCCCTCCAATTTCCTGACGTCCCATGATCCGCTCCTTCAAAATTAAACAGTTCTGTTATGATCTGTGGGCCTAACCTTTTCTCTTCCTCCTCAACCAACCCAGAAGAGCTCAAGCCAGGCCTGACCTAGGCATGCAGGAGAATGAGGTGGGAAAATACCATTTTTGGATGTTCCTGTTGGAGGAAAGTGAACACAAGTTCCTACCACTAAAGTCTTGCACATTAAGTAGTAAACAGGCCAGGCAGACTAGAACTTCTTTGCTTTTTGTTTGTTTGTTTGTTTAAACACATTCAGCTGTTTTCTGTATTAATAATAATAGAAATGTACAGTTGGAAGGTTGGCAGGCGCTGGGACCGAGCAACGGGAGCGCACCCCGCCGCGGGGATTCGAACCGCCAACCTTTCGATCGGCAAGCCCTAGGCGCTGATGCTTTTACCCACAGCGCCACCCGCATCCCACCAGCACCTGCCAACCTAGCAGTTCGAAAGCACCCCCAGGTGCAAGTAGATAAATAGGGACCGCTTACTGGCGGGAAGGTAAACGGCGTTTCCGTGTGCTGCGCTGGCTCGCCAGATGCAGCTTTGTCACGCTGGTCACGTGACCCAGAAGTGTCTCCGGATAGCGCTGGCCCCCGGCCTCTTGAGTGAGATGGGCGCACAACCCCAGAGTCTGTCAAGACTGGCCCGTACGGGCAGGGGTACCTTTACCTTTACCTTTTACAGTTGGAAGGGACCTCAAGAGTCATCTAGTCCAACTTTCTGAAATGCACCTAAAGGATCCATGACAGATGGCCATCCAACCTCTGCTTAAAAACCTCCAAGAAATGAGAGGCCACCACTTTCTGAGGTGGTCTGTTCCATTGCTCTTGCCATAGGAAAGATATTCCTAATGTTTAGTCACAATCTCCATTCTTGTTATTTGAATCCATTGGTTTGGTTGGGTCCTACCCGCTTGCTCCAGCTTTTAAGAGTAACCCTGCTGCTGCTCCTGTTAAAAATATGACTGGTATGGGGAGTGTTACAACTCTCTGTTAATCTGGCTATGCTACAGCTACCTGTTACAGGCCCTCTTCTGGCTCCTCTTCATCTGTTTATACTGCAAGATCAGCACCAGCCTACTTCATCTGTTAAGAGCAAGAGCAAGCGCTCACCAGGGCTTCTGTTGAATTTCTGGAATTTTGCTCCTTCCTCTCCCCACTGACCAGATGCCAAGGAGACCGGCCTCTTGCAATTTTGAAGAGAGTTGTAACAGCAAAGAGAAATTCCAGCAGGTGACAAAGTTCCTCTTCCCCTGCATCACAAGTTGTGGCTTTCAAAACGTCATCTTCTACACAATTTATTACTTCTTTATTTTTGTTATTATTGATTCCCTTTAATTCCCACTCTCCACCATCAGGTTCCAGGATGGGTAACTTACACCCATTTAAAATCGAATATTAAAAACATTAAAAACAAATGACAGTCACAGGAATGGGCTGGGTCCTTAAAAAATCTCTCTCTCAGGTGTCAAAGCCCAAAGCAAAGAGGTGCATCTTTGGCATATGGTGGAAACTATATACAGTCATACCTTGGCTCCCAAACGCCTTGGGAGTCGAATGTTCTGGCTCCCGAATGATCGGAAACCGGAAGTCATTGTTCCGATTTTCGAATGTTCTTTTGGAAGTCAAACGTCCAACGGGGCTTCCGATTGGCTGCAGGAGCTTCCTGCAGCCAATCAGAAGCCACGGTTTCAATTCCAAACATTTCGGAAGTTGAATGGACTTCTGGAACGGATTCCGTTTGACTTCCGAGGTACAACTGTACTGAAGCTGTAAGATGCATCTCTGTCGAGAGGGAATTGCACAGCCTAGAAGCTGCCACAGAGAATGCTCTCTGCCACCACAACCTGAACTTTTGAGGGTGGTGGAACTACCAAGAGAGCCCCCTCTGCCAGTACCAACACTTGAGAGGGTCTATAGGGAAGGAAATGGTTTTTCGGGTGTTTGAGGCCTACACAGTTTAGGACTTTAAACGTTAATGTGAGTACCTTGAATTGGGCCTGGAAGGAAACTGGCAACTATGACAACTACAGGTGCTCCTCCGCCCCTTTGCAACGGCCATCACCTCAAGTCAACCAAAACAAGTTGTCTGATCTCTCTCTCACACACACACCATCTGCCTCCTGTCCTACAGTACTTCCCCACAGGCTCCCCTGAAAAGAAGAGTCTGCCCCCTCCATCCAGAGGCAAGCAGCGGCCCTGGGCTTTCTGGGACACGAACACAAAGGCCTCATTAAAATGCATGCGGCTGGCAGCATGTCCCGGGTGTAATTAGGACGTTGCCCAAGGACAGCGATCAAGGGGTGGAAGAGAGACCACTGAATACGCTGTAGATGTATCAGTGCTTTTGTACGCAAGCCAAGCTGTTTCAGCCCCATTTAAACAAAAGCAAAATGGAAAGGGACCCGAGGTGGGAAGAAAGCCAAATGCAAAGGAACATGCACACTGAAGCAAACGCTCCTCTGCAAAGGCACTACAAGCAGCCTAGCATGACAAGCAGATGGGGCAGCTGCTTTCTCCAACTGATTACAGGCAAACAATGCACCACCAAGCCCAATGAGCGAGTCAATGGGACACCGGTGGCCTCAGCCAATGAAACCAACAGGCTGAGAACATGAAGCGTTTCCAGAAAGGAGAGAAGGCCAGTAAAAAACAGAACCCCCGGCAAGCGAACACAGGAAGTCAGATTCCATGAAGTGCAGAGGGTAGTTACTAGACCACCAGGAGCTAGAGCAGGGATGGAGAACTTCTGGTGCTCCTCAGATGTTCTTGAGCTCCTCAACTCCCATGAGCCCCAGCTTCCACATCCAAGGATGAGGAACGATGGGATATCTAGTGAAGCTACATCTGGTGAGCCAGAGGTTCCCCATCCCTGGGAATAAAGGCTATTGGGTTCCTGGGAGCAAGGGAGCTCAGGGTAATCAAACCAGTTCCAATTGTGCCTCATTCCAGGAGGGAAAGTCTGAGCAATTATTCTACCACATAATTTGTGAGACTACTGGCAGAGAAACTCTGTGTGGCATCTGGGAGTGGCTCTTCCCACCTGCCTCATCCCACCTCCCAGATCCAGGAGCCTTCCTAAGGGAGCCTCAGCCAGAAGGAGGACTGCAAGTGGCCTCCCAGATCTGTTGGGTTTAGGTACAGAATAAGAAAGTACATATTATGGTTGATTGGCCTATTTGTAAGCTTTTAACGTTCATTTTTTAACGTAAATGTAAATTTTAAACAAGAAGTCTTAACGGTTGAATTGCCAGTGGTGTTTCATTTTCTTTTCATTTGTATACTTTTCTATATGTATTACTGTCACAACAGGCTGCTTTGTTTTCGTGAACTGTGAACTGACTACAAATGGAATCAAATCAGGTGGAACTTTCTGGAGGAAAGAGCTGTTCAGCAGTGGAACGGACTCCCTCCAAAGATGGTGGACTATCCTTCACTGGAGGTTTTCAAGCAAAGGTTGGGCGGCCATCTCTTATGGATGCTTTAGTTGAGATTCCTCAACCCAAAGGGTTGGGTTGGATGACTCTCAGAGGCGCTTCCAGCTCTGCAGATTCTAAATGCATTTGTAGAATATTTCGTAGATCAACCAACCGACTATCAACGCAACATGGCCTTACCTGCTGCATTTTTTCCAGGTCAAGGCTGGGCCTTCCGACTTTGTCTCCATAACCTTGCCGGTGCCGCTTACAAGGCATCGCTTGCTCATAGCTGGCTCCGACGCTCGTGAAGATGAGAGGCCGGGACGTCGGGGTCCGTACCAAGGGCTGGAGTCTCTTGGGAGGGGAGGCACTGAAAAGCACTGGGCTAGGGGTGGCATGCAAGCCGTCCGCCGCTTCCACCACCGGCCGGAACGACATGCCGCACAAGTTCTTCACCTCCTCGTCGCTGGAGGAGGTATTGCAGCTGTCGCCGCAGCAGGAGAGCCTGTTGACCTGGGACCACTTTCGCTTCTCGGCAGCAAATTCACAGCTAATACGTTCCAGCTCCTCTTCAGAGCTGTGGCGGTCCAGCCCAGGGGGAAAATGGGCTCGTACTTTGCAGCACTGGTTTTCTTGGTTCTGCAGCTGATTGGTTGCCAGGGGGGTCAAGGTGCAATTCCGTCTTCTCTCTGCAGAAGTAGATTTTTTAAAAAAGTGACTGAAGGGATCTCGGTCATGGCTGTCACATGATGGGAAACTGACCACGCCAGTATCCCTCCTTCCCATCAAATGACTACTTCACCAGGGACCCTGGAAGGGGAGGTGGGGAAAGATTATTTATTAGCTGAGTAAATAATAATAATGTCCACACACACCCCACTTTGGCCAGAGAGTCCAAGAACCCACTGGTGATGCTCCTACAAAAGCAACAGCTGTTGAAATCAAGGCTCATTTGTGGAGAAGGAAAGGTCCAGCTGGTTTTCTAGGACCCAGCAACTTGATCACTATACCTTCAGAGCAGAGCTTTGCAGAGGTAGAAGAAAGTGAGCTGAGCACTAATACAATGAGAGAGAAGAGACAAGAGTTGTGGGTGTTATTGAAGACACCAAGCCTTTTGAATACTGAGCTTCGACCATTCTGTAATTACGAACCTTAGACTATTCCTTTGGGATCCCTTTTGAATATAATTTTTAATTTAATATTGAGGTTCCCCAAGGCTCTCCACCCACCCACCCAATATACATACATACAACAGACACATTCTTGTTGCCCCTAAACTTCACTACCCTTACCCATAACCAGGGTGCCTGTAGGGTCCTCATACATTGTTTGAGCTCCTATTTCCCACGGTACATTTAAAGAGCATGGCTGATTCTTGAAAACCACATGCATATCTAAAGTGGAGAGAGAGGTTGGGTAGAGGAAGAAGTCAAGTAGAAACTTGAACACAAGATGGTTAGCTATTTGTTTTATTTTAGAACTTACATCCTGCCTTCTTTTTACCAACTGAACTTGCAAAATAGCGTAACATTTCAAGCAACCGCAACCATAAAGGAAACGGTATGAAAAGAATGGCAAATGAAAGGTTCAGTCAAATGCCATTTTGAACAGTAATGCAACATTCCCCAACTTGGCAGAAATGCATACGGCACAGAATTATTGTTAGAAGAAACTTGGCATTTTATATTTTTTACACGGTGCCAACAAGCGGTACCAGATGTTTTGCATCTACCTTGCATTTCCAACATACGGTGCTACAAGGACTCTTCGTACAATGTATTTCCCCTACAAAGTGGCAAAGTACATGGACTTATATTTCGTAACACATGGTTGAGCCATCAGTATCTCATGGCCAAGTATCTGCATCAAGGCCATTGCACTATGGGTTGTCGATCACAGACAATATATTCTTGCCACCTTTGATAGATACCTTACAAAGGTAGGTAAAGGTAAAGGACCCCTGGACAGTTAAGTCCAGTCAAAGGTGACTGTGGGGATGTGGCGTTCATCTCGCTTTCAGGCTGAGGGAGCTGACATTTGTTCACAGACAGCTTTCCAAGTCATGTGGCCAGCATGACTAAACCACTTCTGGTGCAACAGAACACTGTGACAGAAACCAGAGCGCATGGAAACACTGTTTACCTTCCTGTCGCAGGGGTACCTATTTATCTACTTGCACTGGCATGCTTTCAAACTGCTATATTGGCAGAAGCTGGGACAGAGCAACAGGAGCTCACCCCATCATGGGGATTCAAACCGCCAACCTTCTGGTCGGCAAGCCCAAGGGGCTGAGTGGTTTGACCACAGCATCACCTCCGTCCCATATGATACCTTACAAAACATCACACTGTTCCCTGTACAGAAATTCAAGCTCCACATATGAAAGAGTAAAGGAAGCAGCTCATCAGCCAGAAGAATCTAAATAAAAAGTATAAAGTATACTAGAGTGGCAATGCAGATAGAAGTCTACCATGGTGTGAATATTCTGGCTTCAGGAGAGCAGATCCCAGCTGCTTCGCTCCTCCTTGCTCATTTTACTGCTGTACTGCACTGAACCAAGCCACAGTTTGGCTTGGTGTGTCGTCTGAACCCCCACTTAGGGTTTACCTCTCCCAGATGAAGCACGGGCTGTAAGCCATGGGACAAACCTTGGTCACCGCTCATGATTAGCCTGGAGACAGCTAAACTGCAAGCCTTGTTTTGGATGACACGCTAAGCCAAACCAGCTTAGCTCAGTGCAGCATTGCAGCAAAATGAGCGAGGAGAACTTGAAGCTCCACCCAACTATGCAGTTCACTGGGTGGGCCTTGGTCCAACCACCATCATACAGCCCAGGCTACCTCCATTGTTACAAAGATAAAAATGGAGTTAGTGCCCCGAGAAATCTACGGAGGTAATAAACAAGCCATACTTTATGTGTTCTTGGCGCATTTTGCAGTCTCAGAGCTACCAAACTTGGGAAAAGTTCTGTGTAGTAAGGGGTCAATGGAAGGAGTATATGGTGGAAGTTACATATAACAGAGTTGATAGAGCATGCAGGCATTGCAGATCAATAGTGGATAAGCCCTGCACCCTACGGGCTTCCCAGTTTACCTTTGTCAATCTGAGCAAGTTCCTGGTTCTCTCCCTCAGAGTCATCACTGTCTTCCTCATCACTCGGGGGATAGGATATCTAGGAGAGAAACACATTAGAAAATAGTTTAATATAAAACAGGCATGCACAGATCAGTGTCATTCTGACCCTGGTCCCTTTCGCATGCATTCTGTCCTCTTTCAGCAGTTTTTTGATGTGTTTTTAAGGCATGCATCACATTTATATTTGACTTTTTTCCCCCTTAGAACTTTATTAAGCAATCGAAATAGTTTGCAATGAAGCAAAACAAAGAATCAGGTGGCAACTTGCTATTATTGGTTGGATATGACAATGGAACATGAAGTGGTTCAATCTAAAGTCAGACAAGGAAATAGGATTATTTTTCTTGAAGGAACAACGAGGGCTAGTAATAGTGGATATGTGTATGTAATCAACACCAAATTAAATCAATGAAACTGTCTCACCCTTAAGCATAACAGCTTTCAACCTGCTGTTAACAGTATTTCTTTATGCTCTTTGCCTTTGGTTTATTTTGATTATTAAAAAAAATAATAACTTTCAAAAACCGCTCACCCACCCAAGCATTTTAAATGAATGTTTTATTTCTGCCACTGTTGCTTCAGTTTTGCAAGTCACTTTTATCTATTTTTTCATTCTTGTGCTGTTGTTTTTATTATGTCATGTCAGCAGCTTGGCGGGGGGTGGAATTTGAAGGGCAAGATTTAACATTTGCTTGAACTAAATAATATCTATGCCATCTCCCTGGAGAGCCATGGGAACTATATGACCTGGGGATAGCCAAGAATTCTATCACCTTCACCAGAATGAAACCCCCAAGAGTCTATAGACAGCCATAAAACAAATAAAACTGCCATAGTGTAATATAGATAAGCTCTTAGCTAAGCTGAATGATTACACCAGAACCCAGAGAATAGTGGTTTTCCAAACAGAGATGCTATTTCAAGAGCTCGGGTCCCCTTAGATCTCACACAATCTATGTCTGAAAACTGCTGCACTGGCCACACGTTCATTTCTGGGCCCAATTCAAGGTGCTCTTGTTAATGTCTAAAGCCCAAAGTGATAAAGTCCCCAAATATCTGAAAGGCGGCCTTCTTCACTGCAGACCCCCTCAGGTGTTCAGGTCTATTGGGTGGATAAAAAATTAGTATTACTCTTATACAAAGGCACCCAGAAACTTTAAATAAACATTGCTCAAAGTAGAGAGTGTGCATGCAATCGCTTATATGTGGCTTAGTCAAAGAAAACCAATATATTAAGTGTGCAGACGTACACACTTTTGCACAGAAATGGGAAAGGGGAAAAAATAGGATGGAGGCTGCTATCCAGAAGCACGCATGTGCTGGATAAGGGATATGCTACTACTGTTCACAGGATTCCCTGAGCTATCGGCTTTGTCTCAGCAGCAGAAAGCTGCAGCTGTGTTTATTTAAGGAAGAAACTTGGACTGTAGCTGGAGGGCTTTGCTGCTGCAGCCTCGTTCACTCCTTGTCTCTGCTCAAGGCTGGAAAATTCCCAAGTTTCCTCCAATCACAATTTGGGGGTGCCATTTCCCAGTAAAAAGTGCATGCTGGAAAGCCTATAGGAAAAAAAGGAGTTACAAGCCTAGGGAAGCCGAGTTAATTTAAATGTTTAGATCTGGGGTAGCCAAGATGGTATCCTCCAGATGTTACAGACAACAACTCCCATCAGCCCCAGGCAACATAGCCAATGATCAGGGATTATGGGAATTGTAGTCCACAACAGCTGTGAATCTCTGACTGTGTGGCCCAGGCGGGGCCAGATTTAGGTTTGATGAGGCCCTAAGCTACTGAAGGTAATGAGGCCCTTTATATGTCCGGCTGTCCTTTGTCAACAACAAATAGTCGCTATTTTTTGTGTTGAATATATGCTATATGGTAATTTATGGACCTAATAGGTATGTAAAGCCATTTGCACATAACAAAATATGTTTTTTATCATAGTAACTGTTGAACTGAAATACAATTAAGAAGATGTATATTAATAGTGAAATACAATTAAGTATATTAATAGTAAAATAATTATTCAGCTCTGACTGTATGTAAGTTTGATTTTATTTGTTTTTTATATTATATTTAGGAAATGTACATCCAGTGGTTTTTTTCCTTTAAATTTTTTTGGGGCCCCCAAGGGAGTGGGGCCATAAGCTATAGCTTGTTTAGCTTATACAGTGGTACCACAGGTTACATACGCTTCAGGTTACGGACTCCGCTAACCCAGAAACAGTGCTTCAGGTTAAGAACTTTGCTTCAGGATGACAACCGAAATCGTGCGGCGGTGGCACGGCAGCAGCAGGAGGCCCCATTAGCTAAAGTGGTGCTTCAAGTTAAGAACAGTTTCAGGTTAAGTACGGGCCTCCGGAACAAATTAAGTACTTAACCTGAGGTACCACTGTACGTAAATCCAGCACTGGGCCCAGGGAACAGTGGGAAGTCGCTGAAAACCATTGGAAGAGCTGGCCTCTTGCCAAGGGAACATGCTGAGCACAAATATTTATTGAGCAGGTTAAGCTGGTGGCAAGGGTCCTGGGGAGTTCTTGTTTAAGATGCCAGCATCATTGTTTTCTCATGACCAGGCCTCCAATGTAATAAAAACAGCCCTAAGATAACTATCTGGGGCAATTATATTGGCTCTGTTGGTTTGGTGGGGCAAATAAAGGTTGTTGTTTTTTATTTTCGTATTCGTTTTTCCGCTAACAAAGCTTGCACATGTGCACTTGGCCTAACCTGTGAATCAAGGCTGCCCATGTAGGATATTTCGTGAGTTACGCTCAGATTGTGTGGATGGAGCATTGGCGGGTGGGGAACAGCAGGTGGTTGGACTATATGACCCTCGTGGTCCCTTCCACCGCTACCGTTCTCTGATTCTCTTATTCTATATCCCCTACTTTACATAAGTTACTACAGATTGAAAAGCAGAACACTAAATGCTCGATGCAGCCATAGACAACTTCTACATATTGCCCAACCAGGGCAATGTGCTCAAAGCACAATGGACTGTTAAAGCAGTCAAACAGACAGAGCAGAGTAAATAAAAGTTATAATCACTGCCGTTTAACACCAACCGTTCAACAGTTAACGGTGTGTGAACTGGCCTTGCCTCCAGTACTGTTTACAGGTAGTGCAATACTAAAATTAGTCCCCAAGTTCATCCAACAGAAGCAAAGAGGGAGGAAGTATTCCTCTTAAGGGAACTCGTTTTCTGAACAGGAGGGGGTGAGAATAAACTAGAAGACAGATGAAGAGCAAAAGGAAGAGGGTGAGAGAAATAGCCTCTCTGGGAGATGGGAGGATGGAAACAAATCCTGTTGAGCAAGACTTTCATCAGCTGAGTGAGAAAGCTGCCTAGAGCCCAGCGGAAAGATCAAGCAACAACTGCACAACCGACCACAAGAAAATTCTGAATACTCTTGCTTCTCCAAACAATACTCCCAAGCATCCTGTTCAACTCTGCAAATGAACCAAGTAACAAACTGCACAGGAAGGATCGTTCAGCAGACTGGGAATTGGGAGAGACAGGGAGCCAAACTGCTGTAAATGGTTAGAAAGGTCACAGTTTACAGCAAGGGAGTCTCCAAGCTAAGATGTTAACCTTGAAAGTGCTGCCTTCCAAGCTTGTGTCCAGTTAGTATGTGGGCAGGAGCCAGTGTTCCAATCATTCCTGACAAAACTATTCCAAATTACGGAGTAGGCCAGGGGTAGCTGACATGGTGCTCTCTGGATGTTATTGGGATTCTGACTCCCATCAGCCCCAGCCAGGATGGTCAACGATCAGGAATGATGGGTGTTGTGGTCAAAGGACATCTAGAAGGCACCATGTTTGCTATTCAAGTCATGGAACATGCACCTAGTTTCCCACAGGCGGCAGTCACGGCCACCAACTTGGATGGCTTCAAAAGAGGAATGGACAGATTCATTAGAGAAGGCTATCAATGGCTACTAGCAGAAATGTTTCTGAATATCAGTTGCTGGAAACTACAGGAAGGCGAGTGTTCATTCTCTGGTCCTGCTTGCAAATTTTCCTACAGGGATCTGGTTGGTCACAGACGGAATAGGATGCTGGACTAGATGGGCCACTGGTCTGATCCAGCACTGCTCCTCTTATGGTCACAGTCCATAATTCTCAACTGCTGTCATGGTGAGTTTTATCTGGGTCACCGTGCCGGTGGTGGAAGACACCCTTTCTGAAGGACTGCCATACATGCATATGGCCAGCAGAGCCAATTGAGAAGAAAGTGAAGAGAGATCAGACAAAGGAAGAAAAAGTAAAGGAAGATAAAGGTGTGTGTGTTTTTTAATGGGTACAGACCAAGAAAACAGATCGTCATGGGAAGTTCTTTTCTGTCACATATTCAACTGTGGATTGGCACTGGATTTCTTCCTTGTTTGTTCACTCTCATAATTGTAAATTTGCTGTTACTTGCCTAAATCCGTAGCATGGGGAAATATTGTTAAACATCTGTAAGACTAAAGAGCGGCTGCCAATCTGTCACTCCCTGTCTACAGCTGAGGTCTGTGCCCATTTGGTCTGGGTGGATTTAACCAGCCAACTTCTGCATTTACACAGGGTGGTTGTAGCAACGGTTGCATGTATGATCCCTATCTTGAGAAAAACAAGCACTTGAACTGCACCAAGTACAATTAGACAACAGGCAGCACCCAGAACTCCTGCTTCAGAACTCAGAGGTGGAACCATGCAAGGTTAAAAAAAGGAGGAGCTGTGTCTAGCTCAATAATGTTTGCTCACTGGTCCTCAACCCAACAGTTGACACAAGGGCAGAGGAACATTCTTCCTTCTTGCAAGGATAAGGAAACAGGCTGTCTTCTGGCGCAGTCATGTCACGGATAAGAGTTTGCAACTACCCTGGCAACTCTCCCTCCACCTCTTCTCAGGAAAACTCCCTTTACACTGTGATAAACCAGAGCCCTAGGATCAAGGAATCAAACACCCACACCTTAAGATAGCATAGAGATCCAATTATGCCGCTTAAGTTCACACAAGGATAACATGGCTGCAGAATGACCTCGCAGGAATGGAGGCACAGATTAATGGGGGTGCTATCTTTAATAAAACCTAAGCCCTCTTAAGGGGTTGCAAGGAGAGCAATGGGATTATGTGAGGGGGGTGGTCTGGATGAGTGCTAGCTCCACCCCTTCCACCACCAACCTTCGTCACCTTCCAACTTGTGAACATGAGTGTCTGAGATGGAGAGTGTTCTGGATCCATGGAAAATTGGGGTGCTAAAACATGCAGGGAGCCACTACAGACACAGAAGGCTCTCTACTGCGATGGAAAGTGGAAAAGCAGTAAGAACATTTATACATATTTCCCCCCTCAAATGCTCTCATTGTCCTCTTTTCAACTCTTGGAAGAGGGCTGTATCCTGATGTTTTTAGACTACAGCTCCCAGGGCCAACAGAAATTGTAGTCCAAAACATCTGGACCGTACCAAGTTGGAGAAAGGTAACCTAGATGATTCTAACCACCATTCTGACTGAAAGGGAGCGGCTTTCCTAACACCACCAGCAAGTTTATGGCCAAGTGGAGATTTGGACCACACTTCCAAGCTCACATTTTGCACTTTTGGGGATCACACAGTCACCAATGCTTTCTGTTTAAGCAGTTGTCTATTAGGACAGAGAAAGAACGAATATACAAAGACAAACATGACTTCAAAACACGAATGCAGGGAAACTTACCTATGGAATTAACTGCTCCAGGATGAGGTTTTGGCCAAGTATATAAACATGAATTTCTAAAGAGAGATTTTGAACCATGCATACTTTCTCATGGCTCATGCTTATTATATTTTTCTTTCCCCTATGCGAATACAAGCATGTATACCCAGGTGTTAGGAGAGGATGGTGGCAGTCTACCCGCCCTAAGGTTTCAGATTACATGAGATTATTCCTCGGAGGCACACTTCTCTCTCCGGGTATTGGTTTATAGAAAGTTAGTCAAGACATGTTCCTAATATCTATTACTTTTTTTGCAGGTTACATCTTGGAGATATCCAAGACCAGCTTGAGGTTGGACAACCAGAAGTGTGTAACAGGCATCAAATAGTCTATCCTCTTCTTGCACAGCAATCAGGTAGCAATACAGCTGCCCCCATGCAAATATACCAGTTGATTCAAGGGTCCTGTCTTTATTTTAAAACATCACGTTGTCAAAAGTTCAGTGTTTCTATAGTTGGGTGTGAAGGAGCACCAATCTTTCTACTCCTCTGGCCATTCTGACGACTGCAAACCATTCACTTTTGCAGCTGCTAACAACAAAGTCTGCAACATCATAGCCTAGGCTATGATTCTTTGTGTGATGCTCAGGTGAGAGACAACCCTATAAACTGACTTTTGTGTACAACTGTAGTTACTTTGGGGCACACCTCCATGAAACAGACCCAATAGAGATTATAGATTCTGTCCCATAACTTATATTTTTTCAAAATTGTATTTAGGTAAAGGTAAAGGGACCCCTGACCATTAGGTCCAGTCGTGGCCGACTCTGGAGTTGCGGTGCTCATCTCGCTTTATTGGCCGAGGGAGCTGGCCAGCGTGACTAAGCCGCTTCTGGCGAACCAGAGCAGTGCACAGAAATGCCGTTTACCTTTCCGCCGGAGCGGTACCTATTTATCTACTTGTACTGGCGTGCTTTTGAACTGCTAGGTTGGCAGGAGCAGGGACCGAGCAACGGGAGCTCACCCCGTTGCAGGGATTCGAACCGCCAACCTTCTGATCAGCAAGTCCTAGGCTCTGTGGTTTAACCCACAGCGCCACCCGTGTCCCTTTTGTAAATACAAAATTGTATTTACTACCAGCTAAATCCTTTATCCAAGCGAAACAAAACATATTAATATGCCAGCTAGCCCACAACCACTGGATATGAAGAGACATTTGAACATCAGGCACCATTTTGTTCTCAGAAGTGCATACTTTACTGTGTCCCTTTATGAAGTGGGCAGCATCATTATTTCCATCTGCCTTTTTTTTTTAAGCAAAAGTTACAAATTTCTAGTTGCCTATGTTCAGAAGTTTGTTTCAACACTCCAAGCCCGACTCAGTGCTATTAACTAGAAGCTATACTAAGAACCAGAGGCCTACTGTATACATTCCCCATTCCAAGACATATTTATCTGGAGGGGGAAGGAAGAGAGGAGAGAAATCAAGTTTGAACAAATGCTGAACTTTTTCTGTTCTCCAGCTTGTGCAAGTCTCCAACGCCTTTTCCTCTCCAACTGTGTTCTTTTGAGAAGAAGCAGTGGCAGCTTTACAAGAACTTGTGCTAATTCCTTCAGGACAGCTGCTTAAAACCAAAGCTTGGCACAAAAACTTGACAGACGCTGGGTCTAGAAAGCCACTCTAGACCCACACATGCAAGGTATAAGGGCAGACCTCAACACTGCTCAGAATAGGCAGTCACAATTCCACCCCCAGCTAGCTCCCACCCAGACACTGCTCTCCTAGAGACGCCTGGAACCCCTTTGACTTCAGATAGCATGGCCAAGTTCACTGTGGAGTCTGGAAGACCTTTGTCTGCGGCAGGCTTCCCCAACATGGTGCCCTCCAAATGCTTTGGACTACATCTCTCAGCACACCCATGCTGGCTGAGAGTTATCTAGGAGCACCCACACCTCACTGGGCCCTAATCAAATGTTATATTGGGGGAGGGAGGCAGGAAAAGTAGTCTGGACCTGCAGGCGGGAGGGAGGCCACATTTGAAGTACATGGTCTCCTCCAAAAATTCCTGGGGACTGTCATTTGTTAAGGGTGCTGGGAGTTGTGGCTCTGTGAAGACTAAACTACACTTTCCAGGAATCTTTGGGAGAAGCTTTTGAATAAATGTGCGTGCAATGTGCTACAAGCATATGGTGCAGATGTGTCTGGAGTCCCTAGCCTTTATGAACTCACTGACAATATCCAGACAGACACAGGCAAGTCCATAAAAGTGAATTAACTTGCTCAGTAATTTGCCAACAAAGAGAGCCGTAAGGGGCAGGTAAGAGGTACGGCCTGATCCACTCATGTTTACTCAGAAGTCAGTCCTGCAGAGTTCAGAGGCTTACTCTTAATCGAGCACCAGACTGTCACTATACCATGCAATCCTAAACATGTTCATTCACAACAAGTAATTTCCACTATTTGCTATGTTTTATTTTATTTTAGGGGGGGGGGAGAGATATGATTACTCTCAAGTAATTTGGAAATATCTACAGACTTAGAACAGACAAGTGCAGTCAAAACCCGTGCCTAGCAAAGCACTTCACCAACTTCTAAATATTGCCCAAATGTTTTATTTATTTATTTTCATAGTAGCACAGCCCCCTCCCTTTGCATGAGCCTCTCTCGACATCAAAAAAATGTCTCCCTTCAGATATAATCCGCAACACACAAAATATGCACTTTGCTAAGAACCCTTGCATCCACACAGTGCACTTTTCGAGGCTCGAGGCTGTCCAAGGAAGTGCAAGGCCTCCTCCATCCCTTGAGCTGCTGTGTGGACAAAGACAACCTGGCCCTCGAAAGGAACAGGCCTTATTCAAGTGCATACGCAGCTCTCACGGTTAACTCGTGCCGCGACCAGGATGCGAAAGGGAGAAAACGAGCCCTGGCCATGCTAACAAGAACAGTATAGAGTTTCTGCAATCAGTACAGCTCAACGCAAAAATAAAAAATGAGACGTGCTTTGGAATAAACAACCAACTCCGCGCTCCCTTTTTTTTTTTTTTTACCTTTAACTGGAAGGGCTGGATCTCATTCAAACTCTGATTCCTGAGCTTCTTCGTGAGGATCTTGAGCATGGTACAAATCCAGAGAGCCTGGAAAGAGTTAAGCACCCACGCACATCTAGATCGGCTGCCGCCGCCGCCGCCACGCTTGGAGGCACTCAGAATAGCTTGCATTCAGCAACTTCAGGTACACACAACTTGTAGCTTGGAGAGGGCAGGATCTGCAGAGAGAAATTCGATCTTGCGCCCCTTTCCTTCCAGACAACAGCCTGGATGGGTCTGGGTTTTGCTGATGAAAAATACTGCCACGCACGGTCTTTGGTTGTTGTCCCCCCCCCTTCCTTTTCTTCCAACACGTATAGATATTACACAGCAAATCCTTTCATTTGCTTCGCAGGCTGCGGAGGCAGCCGAGGTAAAGGAGCCGCTATAGCGGAGCTCAGCAAGAGAGGCAAAAGGGGAGCAGCAGCAAGGAAGAGATGAGCGAGCTCTCCCAGCAGAGGCCCGGGGCTCCGCTCATGGCAGCGGGTCTAACGTGCCATGCTGCTCACTCGCTTCCCCGTCGCCGGCAGCCCCTGGCCAGCATCGCTCCTCCTGGGCACACGCGCTCTTCCTCCCTCGCGCACCCGGCCCGGCTCCTTTTTCTGTCTTCCACGCTCCCTTCTCGCTGCCTTCGAGCTGTGTGAAACTTGTAACAAACAGAACACGCTTCCGAGGCGCCCATTGGCCCGGCCGAGGAGGACTGTGTCAATTTCAGTGGGCGGGGCTTCCATTTAAAGGGAAACCAAAAGGAAGAAGGGGAAAGTCGCCTTTCACGCGCGCGCGCACCCTCCCTCCGGGCTGGGAGATCCAGAGGCGCCGGATGCCATAAGCCCTGGCAGCTGCAGATCCTTAAATCCGAAAGGATCCCCCACCACTCTTGAGACGAGGGCTGGGGATCACTAGCAGCATACTGTGTGTGTGTGTGTGCGTGTGTGTGCATAAAAGGGTAAAGGGACCCCTGACCATTAGGTCCAGTCGTGGCCGACTCTGGGGATGCGGCGCTCATCTCGCTTTATTGGCCAAGGGAGCCGCCGTACAGCTTCCGGGTCATGTGGCCAGCATGACTAAGCCACTTCTAGTGAACCAGAGCAGCGCATGGAAACGCCGTTTACCTTCCCGCCGGAGCGGTACCTATTTATCTACTTGCACTTTGACGTGCTTTCGAACTGCTAGGTTGGCAGGAGGAGGGACCGAGCAATGGGATCTCACCCCGTCGCGGGGATTTGAACCGCCAACTTTCTGATCGGCAAGTCCTAGGCTCTGTGGATTTTAAAAGTTTTATTCAGCACCTCAGAAAGTTTGCTCTGGATCCTGGTTAGAATGCCATGAATCACTAACGTCGTATATTTATTACAGAGACTAACAAAACAGAGATTCATTATCTCCAGCACCATGTGAAGGCAGAAGCTGAAATGCTTTGCTAGCAATAACTGATCTATTTTGTTAGCCACTGAGATATGTATAGCACCCATGAATGTGCGTGCGATGAAGAGCCTTGTGGCACCTTCAGAACTAACAAATTCATTATGGCATTAGCTTCAGTGGCCTACACTCCAGCAGAGAATTGTAGGGTTGGAAGAGACCTCCAGAGTCATCTAGTCCAACCCCTGCAATGAAGGAATCTCAACTTAAAAACCTCCAAGGAAGGAGAGTCCACCACCTTCCCAGGGAGTTCGTTCCACTATCAAACAGCTCCTACCATCAGAAAGTACTTCTGGATGATTAACAGGAATCTCTTTTCTTGTAACTTGAAGCCATTGGATTGGGTCCTACCCTCCAGAGCAGGAGAAAAGAAGCTTACTTTCATCTGACGGCCCTTTAGATACTTGAAGATGCCTATCATATCTCCTCTCAGTCTCCTCTTTTCCAGGCTAAACATACCCAGCTCCTTCAACTGCTCCTCATAGGGCTTGGTTTCCAGACCCTTGATCATCTTGGTTGTCCTCTTCACAGTACTCCAGGTGTGATCTGAATGAGCCCTTGGTCACCCTCCTCTGCAAACATTCCAGCTTGTCAATATTATTCTTAAATGGTGGTGCCCAGAATTGGACACAGTACTCCAGGTGTGGCCTGACCAAGGCAGAATAGAGAAGAACTATTACTTCACTTGATGGGACACTATACTTCCGTTGATGCAGCCTAGAAAAGCATTAGCTTTCTTTTGCTGCTGTCTCACACTGTTGGCTCATGTTAAGCTTGTGGTCTACTAAGAGGCCTAGGTCCTTTTCACATCTAGAACTGGCAAGCCAGATGTCCTCCATCTTTTATTTATGCAGCTTGTTCTTCCAGTCTAAGTGCAAAAACTTACATTTGCCCCTATTGTCAGTTCACCAATCTGTTTAAGGTTACATTGAATCTTGATTCTGTCTTCTGCGGCATTAGCTTACCCCTCCCAGTTTGGTATCATTTGCAAATGTGATGAGCATCTCTTCAATCCTTTCATCCAAGTCATTTATAAAGACGTTGACAGACAGTCAGGTTGTACATCCATAGCAATGACCAGAGGAGGAATGACCTCTCAGATGCCTTTATCTGCCCCAGCTGCAACAAAACATCTCTCTCCCATATCAGTTTCTACAGACACAGCAGGTGTTGTAGCCTTCCAACAGTTTGACTTCACCCCCAAAGGCACACTCTTCCACTGTCTCCCAAGAAATATTAATTCCAATGAACAACAATGGGACTAGGAACGAACCCTGCAGCACCCCACTTGTCACTTTCCCCCAGGATGACGGGGAACCCTTAGTGAGCACTCTTTGGGTTGGGTCAGTCATCCAACTACATATCCACCTAACAGTTACCTCATCCAGTCCACATTTTACCAGCTGTTCTGTAGTGAGGCAGTATACAGATGATAGCTTTTTAGAGACTGGCACGGCAATACTCTATGCATCTTTCCTGAGAAGCACCGCTGCATTCATCAGAGCTTATTTTCTAGTGCAGGGATAGTCAGCAGGGTGCCCTCTAGGTGTTTTGGACGGCAGCTGTCATCAGCTAGCATGGCCAATGGGTAGGGCTGGTGGGAGTTGTCAGTGCAAAATATCTGGAGGCCACCATGTTGACTAGCCCAGCGGTGTATTTAGAACTCCACTGCTGGTAGAGTTGTCCCTGGGCATGGTGTCTCGCCATGGTATCTAACCGAACTTATGTTTGGCATGATTTCCCCCTCCCCCCGCCACCCAATAAAGCCAGAACTATGCCTAAAGAAGCATGTTTAACTAAATGAAAGGATAGGTACATTTCTACGTAACTACATATGTGTGCACGTGCTCCTTTTAAAGGCAAAGACAGACTACCATTCTGATCAGAGAACATTGCCACACTCAGTTTGCTTATTCAGGAGACTGGGGCAACCAGCATGGGGGGAGGAAATCCTCAAAAATTATTGGAAAGCATTAAAAATACTCAATTAACTGAGGTTCTGCCCCCTCTAGCCAAAGCCTGCCCCCCATAATATCCTCTTTGGGAGGGATCTTTACCTGTTATCTCCCCCCAAAAGCTCAACAACTTTTGGGTCGATCTCTTTCAAAAAAAGGCTCGCCCTAACAAAACTCCTGGCCATGCCCAAGGGAACCAGCAGCAACTAGGAAGACAGAGCAGGAACATTCTCCTTCTTTGAAAAAGGGTTCCACTTGTACCCTTACAGATTGCAAAAGTACAGCAGGCTTAAAAGGGGAAGTTACACCAGAGCAATGTTTGTCATACACAGCCTTGTGGTGTGTCCTCTTGAAGAACCCAGGCAGGAGCGCCAAAGGAAATTTGCTAATGACCTTGAGAATACTCCCTGAGCACCGTTATTATCTGATGGGTGCTGGGCACTCTGTGCAGAGCGGAGCAGCTCCATGCTATAATTATTATCTCACGGCTGTTCATCTGTCGAGTTCCAGCAGGTCCTGAGCTGAGGTCCTTTGAGCTGAAGAACAAAGGCATTTACCAGTGAACTGTTCCAGGAAACCTTGCAGTATATGACGATCATTCTGTTGTTCAGATCTGGTCTGAAGGCACATAAGGCCATTGTCTTGCTGGAGCTATACTAACCTGGGTCTGGGTAGTGCCTGGAGTGGATGAGTGTCTGGGAACCATCCTACCTTGGATTCCATGAAGGATGAAAGGTGGGAAATAATTGTAAGAAAATAATTGTAAGAAAATAAATAAAGGGCACTGTTGTTCAGGCCTTGGCTGTTTATGAGATTCACATGCTGTTCCTGTTTTTGGAAACACTCCCATGAGCTAGTAGATGGATTGGTATTTCATTTCAAGCGAATATTTTACATTGGCTTTTTAGTTGTTATTACTCACCCCAAGACTTCTGGAGCAGGATGTCTACACACACCCCAATAAATAGAAAATCAAAGGCCTAAATTAAATACTCAGATTTTCTTATGCCTTACAAGTAGGGCCATGTCAATGTAAAGTTCATCCAAATATCTCAATATACAATGCTAGATGTTCCCAAAGGCTAATCAGACTTAACCAAATAGCTGACTGTATAAACATTTGAAATTGTAGTGAACTAAGAATCAAAATGGAGGCATATGCTATCAACAGTGTAACAGATTCTGAACTTTAAAATGGAAAGCGCAGTGCTGGTGGTCAACAAAAGGGGTTTAAAGACTCTCTCAAGGCAAATCTAAAAAAAATGTAGTATAAACACAGACAACTGGGAAACACTGACCTGTGAGTGCTCCAGTTGGAGAACAGCCTTTACCAAAGGTGTCATGGGCTTTGAAGATGCTCAAACTCAGGACAAAAGAGAGAAACGTGCTAAGAGGAAGACATGCTTGGCAAACCATCATCATGATCACCTCCTGCCCGGAAAGCTATGACCCCACTGTGGAAGGACGTGTGGATCCAGAATTGGCCTCCACAGTCACTTATGGACTCACTGTTAAGACCGTGTTTATGGAAGACAATCTTACTTGGCTATGAGTGATCGCCAAAGAGAGAAGAGATTATTTTCGTGCCATGTTTTTTTAGGAAGAAGAAAAAAGCCTCTCGCCAAAGAACAGAGAGGGGCATTTAAAATCCAGCTATTAACACTTAACATCCAATCCCTGGCACTTTTAACTAAGCCAGTCACCATGCCACTACAAGAAGCCTCCTAGCCTCGTAAGATATGTGTATCAGGAGGTGGTGATTCAAGAAGTGCAGCTTCTTCAGTTGAATTGTATCCATGCATCACAGAGAACTTGATCATCATGCAAGCCTAATGGAGGGTGGGTGGGAAGAGAAGAGCTCTCATGGAAGAAGGAAAGTCTACTCTGGGGACATCTCCTCCAGATGTTGTTGGACTCTGGCTCCCATCATCCCTGGCCATCGGCCATGCTGGCTGGGTCTGATGGGAGTCTGATAGACTCTAACAGTGTTTGAAGGGATACAATGCTATAGCCACCCATGGTCAGTTCATTCCATTTCATCACTCCTAATTGATTTCCCCTCCCAATCCCAAGGGAATCAAAGGAATTGTGAAATTGAACAAGCATCTTCTGGTTTAGAAAGTTTCACTCCTAAGGGAAGAGGCATTCTTTGTTGCCATTTTAAGGACAAAAAGTGTAATAGTATCTGTTGATGTATATGAAAATATGCAAGCATTTTCATTTGAGAGGGAAAGTAAAATTCAAATCAACTCCCAGCTCTGTTTTGTTGAGGGTTCTTTCCCTCGTTTTTGACTAATCCTTCTCCTCTGCCTTTAGGA